AAATATGAAAAATAAAATAAAGGAGCAATAGTGAAAACGAGAATCTGTTTTGAACTATGAACATGTTTTTGAAAAAAATGTGAACACTTTTAGAAACAGCAACAAATTTGAAATCTGCGAACATTGTTTTCAAAACAGGAACATTTTATGAAATTCCTGAACATTTTCTGAATTAAGAACAAATTATGAAAATATGATCATTTTTGAATTTATAGCAACTTTGCAAAGGAGAATATTTTTAAAAATTTCTAAACGCTTTTTGAACAAATTCCGAATTTGTGAACAAATTTTCAAAATGGAATTTTTTTGAATTTCTATACAAACTTGGAGAACAAATTTTGAAGCACAAACAATTTTTCGAAGCACAAAACATTTTTTGAATTTTGTGAACAATTTTGAAATGGAGAACAATTTTGAAAAACCCCGAACAAGTTTGGAAGGGTGAATTTGTTTTGAATAGGTGAACAAAAAATTAAAATCCGGTACATTTTCTGAATTTTGAAAGTTTTGAACTTTGTTTTGTGATGAGAACAATTTTGAGAACAGTTTTTCGAAGACTGAACAATTTTTTACAACAATAATGTTTTGGAATTTGTGGAAAAAAAAGCAAGCAATAACATTTTTTGAATCTTGAGAACAAATTTAGAAACGGAGCACAAATTTCGAACAACGAACAATTCTTTAAAGCACAAACATTTGTTGAATCTTGAGAACAAATTTTGAAAGGAAGAACAATTTTGAAAAATCCCGAACAAATTTGGAAGCATGAATTTTTTTGAATACGTGGACACAAAATTTAAATCTGGTACAGTTTCTGAATTTCAAAAGTTTGGAATAATTTTTAAATTTTGAGAACATTTTTTTGAAAACCGAACATTTTTTGGAAACAGGAACAAACACTTAAATATTTTGAAAAAAGTTTGATAAAAAGAGAATAAAAGAAAAAGTAATAAAAACCCAAAGAAAGAAAATTTGTTGAAAAGAGAAATTAACTTGAAAAGAAAAACTGAAAGAAAACAAAAAAGTAACGAAAAGAAAAGAAAAAAGAACCACCACCACCACCACCACCACCACCACCAACAACAACAACAAAGCCTTTAGTCCCAAACAAGTTGGGGTAGGCTAGAGGTGAAACCCATAAGATCTCGCAACTAACTCATGGCTCTGGCACATGGATAGCAAGCTTCCACGCACCCATGTCCATAGCTAGCTCTTTGTCGATAAAAAAAGAACCAGAAAAGGAAAAAAGAAAAAAACAGAAAGAGTAAAAAAAGAAAAATAAAGGAAAATAAAAAACCGGTTCAGGAACCTTCTAGATGGTTCCCAAACCCAGTAAGAACCGACTGGGAACGCTCTAGAAGGTTCCCAAAACCGGAACCTGGTAGACGCTACAGGGCCGGCCCAGACTCGCTCGCTAGTCAGATCCCCTGTGCGATTCGGCGACAGTTCGACGCAACGAGCGTCGAATAGGGAATTCCGAGTAGGAACTCCCGGTTTTGTACCGCATTGCTAACATACCGCAGGATAAGCCAGTTTATAAGGTGGCATTAGGCCCGTCTCCTTGCCCCCACACATTAGGTGGGGGTACGGGCTTGCCTTAAGCCCGTTAGGAGTGTACAGTAAATGTATATACTGCCCCTGTACAGCCTTGTTGTACTTGTACATGTACAATAGATTAGATGTTCTAGGTGTACTTGTACATGATTCTCAAGAAAAAAAAGTTGTCCCTTGTACAATGTATGTAAAAAATACAGATGTAAATTAAAAAAATATTTTTTTTCATCTTCATTTGTTTTACCACTATACATTGTTTTTCATCTTCATTTTTTTTCATCCCCATTTAGCCAGTAAGTACACCACTGTTTCACACTTACATGCAAATACATCATACTATGATATGATGATTCTTCAGAAGACAAAAACAAAGACTACATAATAAATCTTTGAATGGCAGAAGTTGACACCCCAACAGCCCATCAGGCCATCACTCTGCTGAAATAATAACAGAGGAAACACTGAGCTGAATTAACTAACACCTGTACATAGTCTCTGAGCCCCTCCGTTCCATAATAAGCGTCGTGGTTTTAGTTAAATTTGAACTAAAACAAGGACACTTATTATGGAAAGGAGGGAGTACATTTTATAAAAAGGAAAAAAAAACTCAATCATGCACGTACCTTCATCAATTACACACAATACACTGAGAGGCACCTGATAACTCAGTCTCAGCTTCCCCTTCATAAAAATCATACATTACTACGTACTAGTAAGTTGAAGCGGTCATCCTTGGTGGATTTCTTCTAAATTTTCCATGCAAGAACGGCCAGATATTGTTGACTAGTGACACGAAAAGAAAAGGACATAAAGTGTACTTTATGTCACACGGCAACCAATCGTGTTCCCTTTTCCCATCTGAAGTCAACATCTTCCTTCAGCGGTCTTTCCAGGAAATTGCCAGCCACCGCTTCCTTCGCTTGGTTCGCACAAGGAAGCTGCATAGGAGATGAAATCAGAAGTCATGCTTCAGTCAATAAAATCGAAGTGAAGAATCAAACAAGTCTAGTTACAGAAAGTTATGTGTTGAGTAGATAGTTTTTTGATAAAAATAAGTGCTACCTAGTAGACACCGTGGTCAAATTGAGCATCACATGTGCAGGAAGCCACTGTTCTAGTGATGATTTTTTTGAAAACTGCAAGGCAGGGCCACGTGCTTCGACTCAGCAGGTCAGTGGAGTAAAAAAAATAAGAATTCTGAAAAGTATAGCCTCAGCTTCAGCTGGTAGGAAGAGCAACGACTTTGGAGTCAATGGTAGAGCAATAATAGTGTGCCTCCCCCCACCCACACACACACACCAACCTCCTCACCCCTTGTTCTAGATTTCCAGTTTGCATCTCTGGGAGACTGTAAACAGCCAAAAACCATGCCGATCGGAGAAGCTGTTCTGTCTGCCTTCATGCAGGCACTCTTCGAGAAAGTGATCGCTACCGCTTTTGGTGAGCTGAAATTACCTCAAGATGTAGCTGAGGAGCTGGCAAAACTATCCAGCAGTCTGTCGACCATCCAAGCTCACGTTGAAGATGCTGAGGAGCGGCAGCTGAAGGATAAGGCGGCACGAAGCTGGCTTGCCAAGCTCAAGGATGTCGCATATGAGATGGATGATTTGCTCGATGATTATGCAGCTGAGGCCCTTCGATCAAAACTAGAAGGCCCGTCCAGCAACAACCATTTGAGCAAGGTTAGAAGCTGTTTCTGCTGCTTTTGGTTCAACACCTGTTTATTCACCCACAAGATTCTGCAAGACATAAAGAAGGTGGAGGAGAAGCTCAATATGCTTGTCAAGGAAAGAGAGATTATTGGTCCAAACATAATTAGTGGAACAGACAGGAAAGAGATAAAAGAGAGGCCTGAGACTAGTTCAATAATCGATGACTCCAGTGTGTTTGGAAGAGAAGAAGATAAGGAGATCATTGTGAAGATGTTGCTTGATCAAAATAACTCTAACCATGCCAACCTTTCTATTCTTCCCATAGTGGGTATGGGCGGACTAGGGAAGACGACTCTAGCACAGCTTGTCTACAATGATACAAGAATAAAAGAGCATTTCCAATTAAGGGTCTGGCTGTGTGTTTCTGAAAATTTTGATCAGATGAAGCTTACCAAGGAAACCATTGAATCAGTTGCCAGCGAGTGTGAATCAGCCATCAGTGGGGTCTCATCGGTCACGACCAACATGAACTTGCTCCAAGAAGACCTCTCGAAAAAGCTAAAAGGTAAAAGGTTTCTTCTAGTACTTGATGATGTATGGAACGAGGACTCTGAAAAGTGGGGTACATATCGCCGTGCTCTACTTACTGGAGGAAAGGGAAGCAGAATAGTAGTAACCACAAGGAACAAAAACGTAGGGAAACTAATGGGTGGGACGACTCCATACTATCTAAATCAGTTATCCGACAATGATTGCTGGTCTTTGTTCAGAAGCTATGCATTTGTGGATGGTAACTCCAGTACACACCCAAATTTGGAAATGATAGGGATGGAAATTGTGAAGAAGTTGAAAGGCTTACCACTGGCTGCCAAAGCAATAGGCAGCTTACTATGTTCCCAGGATACTGAAGATGACTGGAAAAATGTGTTAAGGAGTGAAATATGGGAACTGCCATCAGATAAGAACAATATATTGCCAGCACTGAGATTGAGTTACAATCATTTGCCTGCCATACTGAAGAGATGTTTTGCATTTTGCTCAGTCTTTCACAAAGACTATGTGTTTGAGAAAGACAGGTTGGTCCAGATATGGATGGCCCTTGGGTTTATTCAGCCTCAGCGGAGGAGAAGAATGGAAGAGATTGGAAGTAGCTATTTTGATGAATTACTAAGCAGGTCCTTCTTCCAACATCACAAAGGTGGATATGTGATGCATGATGCTATGCATGACCTAGCACAGTCGGTCTCAGTTCATGAATGTCTCAGACTGGATGACCTTCCAAACAACAGCAGCTCTGCAAGAAGTGCCAGGCACCTCTCATTCTCTTGCAATAATAGAAGCCAGACTTCATTTGAAGCCTTTCTTGGATTTAAGAGAGCACGTACACTTCTACTGCTAAGTGGATATAAATCAATGACAAGTTCTATCCCCAGTGATCTGTTCCTCAAATTAAGGTACCTCCATGTACTTGATTTGAACCGGCGAGACATTACCGAGTTGCCAGATTCTATTGGAAGCTTAAAAATGCTTCGATATTTGAATCTCTCTGGCACTGGTATAGCAGTTTTGCCTTCATCAATTGGTAGGCTCTTCAGCTTGCAAACACTGAAGTTGAAAAACTGCCATGAGTTAGATTATCTCCCGCAAAGCATAACCAATCTTGTAAATCTTTGATGGCTAGAAGCAAGAACAGAGTTGGTCACGGGCACAGCCAGAATAGGTAACTTAACCTGTCTTCAACAGTTGGATGAATTCGTGGTCCGTACAGACAAAGGATACAAGATCAGTGAATTGATGGCAATGAATGAAATTAGAGGGCATATTTGTATTAAGAATATTGAGTGTGTGGCTAGCATAGAGGAAGCAATTGGAGCTTTCCTGAGCGAGAAGGCATTCATCAGCATCCTAGACCTTATCTGGTCCAATAACAGGAACATAACATCAGACGAAGCAAATCAAGACAAAGAGATACTTGAAGTCCTCCGGCCACATCATGAACTGAACGAGCTAACTGTCAAGGCATTTGCAGGCTCCTCCTTCCCAAATTGGTTTAGTAGTCTTTCCCATTTGCAAACCCTCCACTTGTCTGATTGCACGAAATGTGCGACTCTACCAGCACTGGGAGAGCTGCCTCAACTCAAGTATTTAGATATTGGTGGTTTTCCGGCCATTATTCAAATTAGCCAAGAATTTTCAGGTACCAATGGAGTTAAGGGGTTTCCAGCACTGAAAGAGCTCGTATTTGAAGACATGAGTAATTTCAAAAGGTGGACTTCTGTACAAGATGGTGAATTTCTTCCATCCCTCACAGAACTTGCAGTGGTGGACTGCCCGAAAATAACAGAGTTCCCACCACTCCCATCAATGCTAGTGAAGCTCAAAATTTCTGAAACGGGGTTCACTATTCTTCCAGAAGTCCATATTCCAAACTCCCAGTTTCCATCGTCATTAGAATACTTGCAGATTCATCAGTGCCCAAAGCTCACATCCTTAAAGGAAGGACTGCTTAGCCAGCAATTATTGGCTCTCCAGCAGTTAACCATCACTCACTGTTTAGACCTAATTGACCTGCCAGTTGAAGGATTCAGATCCCTGTCTGCTCTTAAGAGTCTTCACATCTATGACTGTCCAAGACTGGCACCATCAGGACAGCATAGCTTGCTGCCCTCCAAGCTTGAAGACTTGCGCATCAGCTCATGCTACAACCTTATCAACTCTCTTCTTCAAGAGCTTAATGAGCTCCCCTCGCTGACACATCTCACCACCGCTGATTGTGCTAGCCTTCAATCTTTTCCAGTAAAGCTCCCTGCGACTCTGCAAAAACTAGAGATCCTCGATTGCAGTAATCTGATCTACTTGCCTGCTGGTCTAGAAGATGCATCGTGCCTAACAGCCATAACCATATTGAAATGTCCTCTCATACCATGCTTGCCAGGGCGCCTTACAGGGTCACTAAAAGAACTGTACATCAGAGAATGCCCGTTTCTATTGGAGAGTTGCCAAGAAAACAGTGGAAGAGATTGGTGTAATATTGCTCATGTACCAATCATTGAGATCAGTGATGATACCAACATGACCAACAAGAGAACACGAAGAAGATTATCATGAATGCCTCGCAGCAGTGCTACACAAATGGTATGAACTAGATATATTTCTGCCTGTATAAACATGTTTAGTCTACTAATTGTAAACTTCATAGTAGAACCAAAATCCTCTATAGGTGATTTTGCATTCGTTATTGCACCTATTTTGCATGTTAGCACATAAACACACTTAGGTTCGAATGTCTTGTAACACCTAACCGCAAGCAATAATCATAGACTAGGAAACTACTGTAAACATCAGCTGCAACACTGTATAGTCAAGCCTTGCATTCAAAGAAAAATGAACATATTTTAATAGAAAAGTCAAACTAATGGGATTGCCAATTTAAGACTGAGTAATAACAATTCAACAAAAATAAAGCATCAAAAGATTCATTATCTACCTTATATATCCTAGAATCATCTAAGTGTTTGATGTATTAAAAAAGTTTCATATCCACAGGTCGCCACAGAGATCATTGACCATGGTCAAGTCATATAGCTGTTCTGTTCAGAAAACAAAACCTAAACCTTCAGCTGTGATACGAGCAAGTTTGTTGATGCGCAGTGCGAGCATGCATAGTAGCAAGCTTATTTGGTAAACATTTACAAAATATGGTTGCATTAGCTTCTAAGTAGTACACTCCAGATTAATAATTCTATACTGCCAGTGAAATTTTTCATAGAATGGACATAATAATGTCTCAATTCTTGGTTATTAAAAGTTAGTGTGGCCCTCTGTTACATATGCATTGCCTGTCTAGTGTCTACAGAATGCAGTTCAAAGCAAAACCTAAAAGAAGATCCTGTGCTCACCTGTGCACTTTCTTTTATCTAATTGCAGATATCGTGTTGATCCTGGAAATGATTTTTGGACGATGGTGATATTTCAAGAGCACCTTGCAGTTTAGTCCCACCTGCCATCAGAAGACTAATCTAATGTCCTTAACTTCAAACGACCAGAAAACTCAATCAGTAATTTTGAATAAACAGATCTAGTAGTTTCAGGCTTTCAGCAGAGAAAATTGCCAAGACAGCTCTTTGTGCTTCTGTAATTGTGTGCTCTGTGCTCTCGAATACATTCCATTCTATGATTCTGAGACGCCTTCATTTATTTTTCTTCTCTGTATGACCCTCTCATTCAATACCTAAGGCTATTTTTTCAAGATCATATACTACAATGGAGTACAGTAATAATTGGAGTGCCAGAAAGAGTACACATGCCTTGTTTTTTGTGCAAAATCCTAAATGAAACCTATTCAGTAAAGGAGGGGGTTTAAACGGTGGGACCATTTTCTTCACTTCTGTCAGTAAACACCATCATATCAGAGTCTGGTACCTCCACCAGGCATTGCCCGCCTAATTGCCTGCAGATTCACTTCTTTCTCCACTCCTTTTTTGATTTTCTACCTGGATTATCAGGCCCTTATAAATATGGTAATCCTATTATCCTAACACTTCAGTTTCAAGACAATCCAATGTATAGGGACATGATGCTTCTAATATCCACAGGCATGATTATTTGATTTTATGTAGCCTTCCTAAATATGTTTCTACCAGTGATGTGATCATTCAACACCGACATATATATGTTTTATATAAGCTATCCCCACTATCAGCAACTACTGCTCTTTTGCTGATATGTGTTTTATGCACATCATCAATAAATTAATTCACAGCTTCCTCCTCGTCGTGTTTATCTTGCCATATACCTACCAGCTGGTACAACCAAATCTTGGAAATTGACTGAGATAAATAGCGCAGTCCTAGCCAAAAGTACATCAGTAGAGGCTGATGAACTATATATAGTAAAGAACACAAAATTAAGCTCAAAGAATGGAACTGAAAAAAAGAGGCATTGCCAAATTCATATGCATCAGCATCAATCCATGCATATTGTGGTGTAAGAGTGTATATAGGACTGAGAGGCATCAGTAATCCGGTGGCGGTATATATCTCCTAGCACAACAGGTTGATACATCGCCATTGTACTGTCAAAATCCTCTTGTTTAGCACCGGGTAGCGACCCGGCGCCAGGTTGATGTCTCCTACTAGTTCGTCTCCATGAACCGGTAGCATGTTGGTACTCAGTCGCTCAAAAATGTAACGGCAATTTTCAAGAGTTAAGTCGCTGAAGTAGTTTGCAATTGTGCGAAGGCAACTTGAGCTGTGAGAACGGCCGCATGCATCTAGCACATATCATTGGGAAAATCCCCAAAACATATGGAGTTCCAAAAGCATCGATCCGAGTCAATTCGTCCAGATCCATGGACTTACAGTATCGATAACGATAGCCGCGTTGCGAGTTGGCTCTCTTCTCCTCCTCCTCCCGCGCCATTGGTTTGAGGCGGTGCAGCAGGCGGGCGGCGCGGCGGCGATCCGGCGACGCGATAGGTGTGGGCTGGGACAGCGGGAGCTCGGCGCCGCCGGTGAACGGTGTGGCACGGGATGGTTGCGTCCAGCCCAGTACATTTTTCAGAAACGGCGAGATTTTTTTTTTTTTGAGTAAAAGAAACGGCGAGATGAGCCCCAGGCTTTTTCCAGAGAGATAAGGCCCAAATTTGCATTTGGTCAATTTGATGTCTAACAAGAGCTAAGTGGTCCTATCTTAGACTAGCCACAATGGGAGTAACTTCAGCAGTAATATCGAGTTCAACTCAACAAATTTACTTATGTGGCAATGAGTTAGTGAGGAGAGGAGAGTTACAGTAACTTAGATAGTTACTGTAACATCACATGTCCCAATGCAATATGAGTCTATAACCTAATAAATGAACCTTTGCATGTTATCACACTTATGTTAGTACCCACTATGAAGGTAGTAATATAGTTTAGGGATATGTGTATGTTACTGGTGTATATTACTATGCATTATGGTCAGTCTTAGAAATTGAACATATAAACCTTGGTAGAGTACCCGCCATTCTAGCGCCATCGTGGTCTTAGGTGAATCCGACTCGCACATTCTACCCTGCGATGTACTTGGTTGGTCCTTTTAATCTCGCTGTCAAACATCCCGACGTCCATTTTTTCGTATGTTGGCTGTTTGAGTTAGACCGAATGACGGCTGGGCCACCCTTGTGCGCGGGGCCAAAATTCAGCGGCTACTGCCGCTGCAGCTACTGTTGCGTGCATGCGCCAACGGTGAGCATGGGTGGCAGGGCGTGGGGCGCGGGGTGGAATGAATATTTTTTACTGTCCTTGCAACGTGATAGGCTAGAGGTCGCGCGCCTCACGCGTGCCTGCTGACCAGGCGAAGCGACATGGATGGGTGGATGGTGGGTCGCGGCTTTTTTACCCGTCATGTCCATACCCAGCTGCATTGGTGGCCCCTGCTTCGGGGGTGGTCCCGCATGGCAGCATGTTGGCTGTGTGGGAGGCGTGCGCTTGCTTGTGTTGCGTGCAGGTACCGCGCGACGCGGTGTGGGGTGGGTCACGTGGGGGTGTAATTCTATTTTTCTACTCGCTCTTCACCTACCCAGCTATGTTGGTGTCCCCCTTCTTTTTCGGTCCCATATGTAAGTGTAATGGGTGGCTCGTTCCGGGTGAGGGAGGGTGGTAGATACATTTCTTTCCAGGAAAGATGGTCCTCCTCTCCCGACGTTCTCTGTACTAGGGTGGGTGAGTCACGAGTGCACGTTCCCCAGTTCACTCCCCTCCCCCCTCTTTATTCCCCATCCGCCGTCGCCTCCTCTCTCGCCTCACCGCCGGCCTCCTCTACTCCTCTTCCTCTCCCTCTCAGACGACACCTAGCTACGGCCGCCCCATGTTGAATGGCCGCCCGTGCGGCATCCTGCATCTGGCGCGGGTGCGTGTGCTAGTGACTAGCCGAGCCTTCTGCTAGTGGCTCGAGCACGAACCCTTGTGACGGCGTCCGGACAAGGTCGGGCGCAAGGCGGAGCTGCGATCGGCGACCCGGCACCGGTGCATGCCCGGCGGCAGGACCGTCTTCACCGTGGAGGGTGGGAGAGTTGGGCGGCAGCAAGCGGCAGCGGCGAGGGGAGGCGCACGGGCGAGAGGGTGGGGCTCTTGCTAGTTGCTCTCCCGTTCCCGTTGGTTTCTTGCGGCCACTGTGGTGTTTCTCAGATCGAGCTGGATGGCGCAACGACGGTCGTGGCGCAGGTCGACATGGGAGCACATCCGGCATCCCAGTGGCCACGTAGCGGCTCTGGTCGCCGAGAGGGCTTAAAACTGTGGCTGATTCCATCCACCCCTCCCGTTCTCACTTCTCTTTCTCTTCTTGATGCAGGGTCGTGATGTGATCCACCTTGTCCAGAGGGTAATTTCTGCATGTGATTTGGGTAAGGATCTTGGTGCTCTTCGTTTGCTCACTGTGTTTTTTCCTAGGTGAGCCTCTCTCTTTTTCCCATGCTCTTGACCTGCTCGATAAAATGCTTGTGTGGCTGGAGCTATTATCTGCCTTGTGTTAGATTCGTTTTGGTTTCTTGACAAACATGTGAATTTCTCCTGAGTGAAAAAATGGAGGTGAAGAGGAGAGGAGGAATTACTTCATATGTTTAGGCAGCACGAGATTTCTAAAGTTAGTTTACAACTTGTTAGCCAATTTTGGTTGTCTTGCAAAGTAAAAAAATTCAAGTAAATAGTTTGCTTATTTTCGCTAAGTAAATCGGTATTCTGTTTATCGGGTCTATCTGATCACTTTCTCGTGCATCTAGGTCGGTACCGCTGTTGTCACCAGGTAGAATGGCCGATTGGCCATGGGCAGGCTCGGAGCCCTCTGCGAGCAGGTAACTAAATTTTTTGACCAACGAGCTTTCTAAAACTGTAAAAAAAATCATTCTCACAGTTGCTGACCGATAAATATGTGGAACTGTTTCAGGTGAAGGAGCTTAATTTCCAGGGGTATGAGGTGATTCTGGTCACCTCCGGCGCCGTCGGCGTCGGGAGGCAGAGGCTCAAGTACCGAAAGCTCATCAACAGCAGGTTGCAGAGAGTTTTTTCTCACAATAGTTTACTGACTGTCATTGCCACTGATTATCCACTGGTGCAGAGACCTGCTATACA